CACCTTGGTTGCGGGCACATCCCCAGTGGGGGGTGTGCAGGAGGCAGCTGATCGATGTCTCTCCCTCATCAATGTTTCTAACTCTCTATCCCTCTCTCTTCCTCTCTGAAAAAAAAATCAATAAAATATTTTTATTTTTTTTAAGTCACTTATCCTCTCTCTAGGAGATATCAACTAATTGTGTGATTCATGACTAATCACAGATAACAGTAGATGACTAAAACTTTTGGCCTTTGACCACAAATCAGAAATTGAAACTGTAAACTTTAATATGTATTGAATTACATAATGATTGTTTAGCCTCTCCACTGAATTAAGACAGTCTGGTATTTATTTTTATATTTCACCTACCCTTCTCCTACCAACAAAATGTCCCAATATTTAACCTGACTCAATTGGTTTAAGTTGAAACTCATTATTTTCTATTCTTTTTCAAGCTTATAAAATACTCTTGCAACTTGAAATAGTGGGCAATTGTCTGCATTCTGAGAGGGAAGGCAGCCAGCATCTTTCACATGACTCAATGTGGACAGCCTTTTGTTCTTCTGATGAGACTGTAACTTCCAATGTTAGAAATTCCTGAGTGTATTCAGAGTGTAAAATCGGGGCTCTTAATAATTCCATTACAGGCAAATGAAGCACTCTAGATATGAGCCTGAATGTAAGGTGAAAAGCAAAAGCAAAAATAGTATCAGTCATTTCCCCTGCCCCGCCCCTTAGCTTCACACCTGAGCCTGTTATAGAAGCTCATTTTTTAGGTGTTGCTGGCTAAGGATGTGAGTTCAGGCCCCCTTTTAGTTATTTTAGACAATAACTTGACTGGCTAGGCCTTGATTTAGGGAGTATTATGAGGGGTCAAATTTAGAGCCTCATCTAAACAGGCAACTTAGGCACACAGCAGAAGCCCCGACTCAGGAGGAGCTCAGTTCTCTTTATAGTGTCAGCGTCTTTCCCTTTCTTAGGAGGGCGTGGGGTGGTAAGAGCTGACCTTTAGTTACCTCTAAACTCTGGCCAAGATGTGAAAGTCTAATTATTGCATCAACCATGTTATCTTAAATAGGGAGGCAAGATTTAGCATATCTGAATCAAAGCAATTTTCATGCCAGTTTGGAAGCCATTATAGATCTTAAATCAAAACATTTTCATTGTTTGAACTCTAAGCATGTGGGTGGAGGAGGGGAGAACAGCTTTAATTCATATCCGTAAAGTTTTCACTCAGGAGGATTTTTGTAGATCATATAAAAAGACTCTTATTACTGCTGAGTTATTTACATACTAGAGGCCTGGCGCATGAAATTTGAGTGCATGAGGTGGGGGGCAGGAGGGTGTCCCTCAGCCCAGCCTGCACCCTCTCGCAATCTGAGACCCCTTAGGTAGGGACCCTAGGCCAGGCAGGTGATCAGGACTTATCAGGGCCTTTCTTCCCCCAGCTGCTGGCAACTGGCCCTGCCCCCCCCCCGCCCCACTCCACACACACACACACTCCTTGCCATCTCTGCAGCACTGCCCCTCCTCCCCCGCCATCAGTTACCTCCCTCTGCAGGTGACAGGTGTGGGGTGCGATAGCTTGGCTGGCCTGGGCCTCCCTCTGTAGGGCGATGGCGGGGGGCTCCCACCCAATCACATTGCACCCTTGTTGGCTGGCCTAGCACCAGTGCGTGTCATAGTGTGGTCATCTGGAAGGTCGTCCGGATGGTCGATCTGCTGTTCAGTCATTCAATTGGTTTGCATATTATGCTTTTATTATTATAGATAGCAACTATATTTTCCAAGTAAAGTTACTCTTTTTCCTGACTATAAATATAAATTCAGAGAAGGAATAATCACCAATGTTTTTAACCATCCCAAAATAATCAGTTACCACTTGGAATAATATTTTCATTTTTTTTGTTGCTATTTATATATGTTTTTACTATACAGATCACATGTATAATTTTGAATTCTTGATACAGCCACCATTTGGGATCTAACTTCATGTAAAGTTTAACCAAAGTCATACACAGTGAATTCATAACTCTCACAAAGGTCATAAGATTAGTTTTTCTTTCCTGGTATAACACCTAAGTGGGAATCTTGCAGCATAATATAAGTATTTACCGTTCCTTGAAATACCTTTAATTTCTCATAACAAGATTGGGCCTGTTCTTTTGTGTTATGATTAAACACTTGAATTGATCCTTTAAAAAATGCTGGTCCAATACATAATTGTAAACATGAACTGTTATAAGAATATACCCTGGCTGGTGTGGCTTAGTTATTTGAGCATTGTCCCATGCACGGAAAGATCACTGGTTCAATTCCTGGTCAGGACATATACTCAGGTTGTGGGTTTGATCCCAGGTTTGGATGCATGTGGGAGGCAACTGACCAATATTTCTCTCTCTCCCTCTTCCTTCCTCTCTCTCTCTCAAAAATCAATAGAAACATATTTTAAAAAACATATAGATGATTAATATAGTCAGACTTATTCCATTAGCCATACTCATTACAAATATGTGTTTAATTTTGTTTTTAACTATTGGAAATAATAAAGACATACATTTTTCCTTATTTATTATCCAAAAATTGGTAATAATCATATATTTTCTCTCTCTCCCTTTCTTACCCATCCCGTCTTTTTCCTCAAGCTATTCCAATAGAAACTGCTAAGCAAAATCCTAATGTTGCTTTGGTCCTTACTTCTTATGGAGGCCATATTGGTTTTCTGGAGGGCATCTGGCCAAGGCAGTCCACGTATATGGATCGAGTCTTCAAGCAGTTTGTGCAGGCCATGGTTGAGCATGGACATGAACTCTCTAACATGTAGTTTTTCAGGTGCGTTTTGTCTGAACCATAGAAAGCAGCTCAGCTTACTGCGCACAAATCTTAACTACTGTATATAAAGCAAATAAGCCAGCTGGTGGTGAAGAGGTCCATAATGACATGCAAAAACCATTTTGGGGGGAAATAAAACAACTATGTAGCAAAAAATAAAATGCGGATTTAGATTGTAATTTATGTAGATTTTATTTTTACTATGCCTTACCAAGTATGACCTTAAATCAAGTAGTACAAACATGCAATTGCACTTAACCAAAACCATTGAGTAAAAATATTTTAATTCCTCAGGGTTTGAATTTAGGCTAATACGTGTTAGATTACTCATTTTACATGATTTAATGGTACTTTAATAACTACTAGAGATTATTGGTAAGATATTTTGGCTATTTGAATGTAAGTTATAAGTTGGCACATTCCTAAGGGTATTTATATGATAATGACATAACTGAAATAAGATAAAATACAATATATGCTAAATATTTTGTGTTCTAACTTTCAAAGGCAAATGCAACATTAGACTGACTTCTATACATGCTCTTTTATTCTGATATTAAATTAAGGCTGATTTATGTTTTATAATGATTATAGTTTACATGCTTATTTTTAAAATAGTATATATATGCATAAATATATCTCATTATATTAAAATAAATTATATTTTAAATTGTTTCTTTGTGAGTTTGTTTTTTGGCTTTTTTTAACCCTCAATTGAGGACATGATTATTGATTTTAGAGAGAGGGGAATGGAGAGAAGAAAAGAGAGAAACATCGAAGTATGAGAGAAACATTCATCAGTTACCTCCCATACTCACCCTTACCGGGGATCAAACCTAAAACCTATGTATGTGCCCTGACCAGGAATTGAACCCACAAAATTTCAGTGTATGGGACACTGTTCCAACCAACTGAGCCAACCAGCCAGGGCTCTTTGTGAGTTTTTATCTACAAAAAGTAATCCCTAGACAGCAATTTATGATAAATTCATGAATTGCATTAGTAAGAAATATTAAAATTGTTTTGCTCATTGTTTCCAGAATATTGGGCTCACACCATGCATACCAATTAAAAATACTTTCAGTTCCACTGAGTTCACAGGGAACACCTGTAGCCCAACAGCTCCATGTGGAGGAATACCAAGATCCAAAGGGCAGGCGGGTGAGAGACAGATAGGGGCAGTGAAGACAACAGCAGGTCAGGAGGGGTGGTGGCAAAAACTGCCTCCTGCCTCTGGGAGATGAGGCGACTGATAATTGCCCTTGGTGTCATGGCAATAAGCTCACTCCTGATGTCATATGGCAACGTGGACTGGTCCACGTTATAATGAATCAGAACCAGTTTGCAGAGTCTTCACTTTAAGGGCTAAAGTCCAAAATGTGTAAGTCAGAATTATCTATGAGGTCAAATTCTTCTCTCAGGCCTTCATCAGATGAACTGGTACCTCCAGAGGACAATTTTGTCACCAACTATAGCAGCACTGGTGCCAGGGGGACATGGGCCCTTTCCCTTAGGTTCAATCTTTTTCCGGATAAAGGACACAGGGTTAAACCATGGAAGTGCTGGTGCAGTTTTGCATTATAGCCACCAAAGATGTACAACTCCCCATGGTAGCCAAAGGCTGGGTGGCTCTGGTGTCCCCTTGGGCAGCACCAGAGTGGCTGGACAATCCAGCCAGGTATCAGTCCTGGTGTCAAAGACTCAGATGGGTTGCAAGTAAATCTCATTGCTGGAATGGAACAGTCCAAAGCGGTCCACGACATATATGACTGCCCAGCATTAGTGGCTGAGTGGAAGTCCCTCTAGCAGCGCAAGATTACCCTTTGTATAGATGAGGAGCCATGTCATGGTACCTAGCTTGTGAATGTCATTAGAAAAGCAGTCCACCAGCTACTCAGAACTCTTAAAATGTATATGGTCTTGCCAAAGACACAAGGTGAATGTCTATCCAGGGCCCCAGAAATTGTTCCTAACACTAGGGTTGTGGGCCATTTGTATTGATATCAAAGGTGTAGAGCACATTGCAGGCTCCTTCCGTGCCGTTCTTCCCACCCCAAAGGAAGACGTCGTCATCAATTATGGTTGAGTGTCCATACCGCATGCATGGTACCTGTGGTTGATGGGTCTCACGGGGAAGGGGAGGCAGCTTTGTCCAGCACAAGGACACTGCATTGAAAATATGCACAAAAAATAAGGAGTGCTTCAAGGATTTGCATGTCATCCTTGTGCATGAACCATGCTCATCTTCTCTGTATGGTTCCAATTCTAATTTTAGCATATGTGCTGCCGAAGTGCACACCAAAACATTTTTACAATGGCATTATAGAATACCTCAATGGTTAGTAAACTATGACCCTGAGTGAAATTTAGCCTTCTGCCCATTTTTGTATTTTGCCCAGAACACAGCCACGCCCATTAGCTTACCGATTGCCTACAGCTAATTTAAGCAGAGTTGAATAGTTGAGATACACAATTTTAATTTTAAACCTTTTTCATCTCATGGCACACATTACTAAAATTCTGCAGCACACCAATAAATATATGTTTCACTGATGTGACAAAAAAATAGGCATCATTTTGGTTCATTTACATCAGATGGCTATTGTGTTGGCTGTTATTTTTAAATTTGACAAGCTAAAGGAAAAGAGGTCAGTGCTCCTGACAAAAGTCAGGTATTGCACGTTTTAAAAATTCTTGCAGCACACTGGTTGAAAATCGCTGGCCTACATCTAAAATACTATTTGGCTTTTCAGAGTGAGCTTGGGACTCCTAGTCTACTCCACAAATAAGACACAGGAATGTTTTCCTTTTAAGAAATGTGATGAACTTCTTTATGACTATATTTATCTTGTTTTCCTTGAATTCTCAAATGAAATCCTGGACCAAAGCACAGAAAAAAATGTTAAGGCTTTTAAGATATCCTGACAAGTTGCTTAATGCTTTTCAATGCACCTTCCCATCAGCCTACTCCAAATGGTCTTCTACCTACAGGACAATAAGCACTATTTAAAAATTATTTTATCAAAAATAAAATTTGAGCCCTACCAGTTTGGCTCAGTGGATAAAGTGTCAGCCTGTGGACTGAGGGGTCTAGGTTCAATTCTGGTCAGGGGCACATGCCTGTGTTATGGGCTGAATCCCCAGTGGGGAGCATGCAGGGGGCGGCCAATCAGTGATTCTCTCTCACCATTAATGTTTCTCTATCTCTCCCTCTCTGAAGTCAACAAAAATAAAATATTACTGAAAACTGCATGAGTACCAAAAAAAATTTCTCTAGTTTTAATATTTTACAATGTTGGTTTGTCTCATAAGGTTAAGTTCCTCTTTTTTCTTTAAAAAATGATGAATCTCCTACAGCCTCCTCATTCGTCAGAATGAACACCAGAGCCAATTTACCAGTTAAGAACACAGGGTTCTTGGATGTAGACTTGCCTCTAAATTCCAGCTCTGCTGATTAAAAACTGTGGGACTTTGGCAGTTACCTAACCTCTCTGGGCATGTTTTCATTTTGAAAACAGAAAACACCATTTGCTACACAGAATTGTTCTGAGGGTTAAAAGAAATAACATATCAAGGGCTTAGCACAGAATCTGGCACAGAGTAAAATAAATTCTACATCCAATATTTGTCAAACGACAAGGGGACTAGTTAATATTGTCCACTAAAAAAAAAATCCATTTGGCAACTGCATTCAATCTATAAGAAAAACCTGGCACAGAATAGGCATTAAGTTCAAGAAATTACTTTAAAATTCACCAGGATAATTTTGTTAAACCTTTAAATTGAGAACATTCACTTAACGACACCTACAATTTTCATCTTATGGCACACATAAGGATATTACGATTGACGTTAGAGAGAAAAAAACATTTAAGAATGAAGGAAAAATTACAAAGCTCCAGAAAACACAGGAAATCTTCCCTATCCTTGCAGATTCATAATGCGTATTATCTTTTAAAGTCTAATTAATTCATGTGAATCCTCTTAACAGCCAATCACACAATATCTGTTCATCAAATCTCAGACATCGATTTTTAGATGCACTATATTTTTGTACTAAAAACAAAACAAAAAAAAACCTTCTGATTTGATGCCGTCTAAGTTCATGCCTTAATGATGCATCTTTTTTTCCTTTAAAAATGTTTTATTGCCGAAATCGGTTTGGCTCAGTAGTAGAGCATCGGTCTATGGACTGAGAGGTCCCAGGTTCGATTCCGGTCAAGGGCATGTACCTTGGTTGCGGGCACATCCCCAGTAGGGGGTGTGCAAGAGGCAGCTGATCGATGACTCTCATTGATGTTTCTAACTCTCTATATCCCTCTCCCTCTCTGTAAAAAAAATCAAAATATATTAAAAAAAATTTTATTGACTTCAGAGGGATAGAAACATGAGATTGGCTGCCTCCTGCTCAAACCACACTGGGAATTATGTGCCTTTTGGAGAAAATACCTGCTAAAAAGCTTCATTCCTATTATGTTGCTTCTAGAGGCCTGATGCACAAAATTTGTTCATGGGTAGGGTTCTTAGGCCTGGCCAGCGAGCAAGGCTGATCTTTAGGCAACTGGTGGGTGGTCAGGGAGCATCTAGCGGCTGGTTGTTCCAACATCTGGTTGATTTGCATATTAGGCTTTATTATGTAGAACTGGTTGTGAATTCAATGTAAATATATATTGTCTTTAAACAGAAATGCACATATGAAACGATTATATATTGATCAGATTGATGAAAATGTTACTGTAGGCTCATAGAAATCTAATTTCCCCTAGGAATACCAGTTAACTCAGAATTTGCAGCAAATTATTATAAGACTTAATTACTGTGAATAATAAAAATCTACTGCATTTGACATTTAGAGTTTTTGCTATTATTCTTTTGTAAATTGAATCTCATATATAACTAACCTTACCTAAAATATACACACTTTAATGCTTTAATGACAGGAAAAGCTGGTTCAGATAAATGTAACACTACCATGTTTCTACACAAATATAATTAGCAAATTTCCCTTCCTTTTCAAAAGTATGTCCTTAATTCTTACATTCACAAAAATTTTCACATTAAATAATGAAGGCTAATATTAGGTATACTTTTAAATTATAATGTATATAAAAATGTCTGCTATTGGTTTAAGATGGACTTTCTTCATAATGTTAAAGAATCATCTTCCAGTTTAGGGTTTTAGTGTTATATTTTATGAAATGTCATTCTAATGTAATCATGTAAATTTTGACTGAGTATATTAATAGATTTCAACATACCAAGCCATCCTTGCATATAACCACAATAATTATAATAGGCTATGGGCCCAGTGCACAAATTTGTGCACACTGAAAAGAACTGTGGGCCACAAGGCTGTGGTGAGCACAAGGGTGGGTCTTGGCCCATCTGTTGCACCCCCACCCAGTCCCATTGCAGATCCTGGTCCCCCATCCACGAGAAGCCCCACACCCACCCACTGATGGTGCAGAGCAATCAGGGCAGGTGCCAGCAGCAGGTGGGAGCAGCAGTTGCTGCCCTGATTGTCCCTCAGGAGCAGAGGGAGGTGAAGAAGCCCTCAGGAACAAGGCCAGCAGCCACTGTTCACACTGCTGATGGCGCTAAGTTATTGGGACTGGCGCTAGGTGCCCACAGCAGGTGTGAGTGGCAGCTCTGAGTGCTGGTGAAACTGCGGCGCGTGGAAGCCAAGAATTTTCAATAACCATCACAGGCTTATCCCTATGACAATGACCAGCGCCCCACCTCACTGGATCTAACATCCTGTCCTGGCCGATGCCCACCATGTTCCACGTGCACCCCTGGTGGTCAGTGCACGTCATAGCGACCAGTTGTTCCACTGTTCGGTCTATTTGCATATTAAGGTCATATATATATATATATATATATATCTTTAATACATTAAAAGACACTGTGAAATTTGATATTCTATTATTCCACTTAAAATTTTCTATCTAAATACAATTCTTTAAAAAACCGAAATTTCACTAAATCTTAAGCTTTAAAAGGTTTCAGATGTATGCAAAATGAATCAGCCCTAAGATCTTCATATACTCTTTGGGGGGAAGTAGGGCAAGTGAAATATATTAAAACTTGGTGTGTTTTCTACTCATACTGCAGTGCCTCCTTTATAGCTAATGGCAGCCCAAACAGCTTTTTCTCATACATAAAAATAAAATGACTTTGAATGGATTAAACTCGATCTAGTAACCACTGTGGTTTACTTACATTTAAACTATGTTACTAGACTCGTTTCACAATGCAAACATCTAGATATTAAAACACACACAAAAAAAACAGGTTAATAACTCTGAGGTTACACTGGAATGACTTAAAATAAAAATGAGAAGCCAATACATATTGCTTTTAAAATAGACAATAGGAAGTACTCTTATCAGATAGAGTTACCACAATTTCCAGTTACGTATCCATGTTTATTTTAATTTTGCTTCCCTTTTAACCTATAAGGTCTGAGGACAAGAATCAACTTATGTTAGTTTACTTGTGCCAGGTCTTTTCTGTTTGCTCCCTTTGAATATCCTCTTCACCTTACTGCATCATTGGGTTTCCTTGCTGTCTGCATAGGTTCAAATAATTGGAATGCCAACAGATCAGTGGATAGACAAGATTGAGACACACATATACAAATACTCTTGCTATCTCTCGGCTTACAAAACCTTTTTAGTCTGCAGACAATTTCCTCATTAAAAAAACAACACTCCACAAGCTTAAATGAAAATACAGACTTAATCCCCTCATCTTCAAAATTAATTTTCTTCCCTTAGCATATAAACAAATGGTAGTAAGCTTTACAAGGAACTGTATATACTGAAAAGTATTTTTTTTCTAAGCTTAGCCAATTAAAACAATTTTTAAAAATCCTTAACTACTGGAAAGAATCCATTGTTGTCATAAGTAGTTTTCCTTTCGTTCTTAAAGGACACCTAAGTTCTTGATAAAGGGGCTACTGTCAGGTATATTCCACAATAACACGTTTCAACACTGCTTATAACCTAGTGAATGTTAACTGAAGTTTCAAGTCAGGAGAATGTAAAATTATATTCCATCGAGAGACTATTGAAAAAATAAAACAAAAACCAAAAAGCATTATCACAACAAAATCAATGACTCCTAATTTGAAGATGACTATCACCTTTTACTAAGTACCCAAGTTTCCATGGAGTAAAACTCAGGAAAGGAGAATCAATTTTATAGCCCATTCCACAGGATTCAGCTTCTGAAATAAACAAAATCCATTTCACCTATCGGCAGGTTTCATAGAACTGAGCTGAAGTAAAACAAA